GGCGGCCGGCGGCCCGCGGCCCATGATCCGGAGCGCCAGGTCCCGAGGCTGAGCTTCTCAGCGCCCCTGGCCTTGGAACTGGGCGCTGGGGCCCGCCGCACCCCCCGTCCCGTTCCTCCCGGGCCCCAGGAGCCTGGAGCTGGTGTTGGCGGAAGTGCAGCCCCGCGCGGAGTGAAATGGCCTTTCTGTCCCCTCCCCCGTTCAGTGCCCTGGTTAAACCAGGACCCTCGCATTTCCCGGGTCAGAGCTGGTGAGGGCGCGGGGAGCCTAAGTCCGCTGAGGCTACAACATAGCTTTCTTTTTGCAACAATTTTTCCAAATTTGATGTGTAATTTACATGCAATAAAATGCCCTTATTTTAAGTGTGCAGGTCGGGGATGTGACAAATTATACGCCCGAGTAACCACTACCCTAACGTAGAGCATTTCCATCACTCCAGAAAGTTCCCTCTTGCTCCTTTCGAGTCAATCCACACCACCCCCATGCCCTTTGATTTCCATTAAGGCTTAGTTTTGCCTGTTCTAGAACTTCATAAAATGGCATCATTCAGTAAGTACTCTCTTGTTTTTGACTACTTTTAAACGGTAGTCGTTGAGAAGGTGTCTTTTGGTGCTTCCGAGGTTTTTAGCTGCTGTGGCCTGCACTGTCCACTGTGGTAGCCACGCGCCACGTGAGGCTCTTGAGCACAGGAAATGTGGCGAGTCCGAGTTGAGATGTGTCGTAAGTAGACACACCTAATTTCGAAAGACTTAGTACAAAAAAAAGGACGTAAATTATCTCACCAAAATATTGATTATGTGTTGAATGATAGTAGTTTTGATACACTGGGTTAAATAAGATATTACTAAAATTAATCAGTTTCTTTTTACTTTTTTAATATGGCTACTGGAAAATTTAAAATTACGCATGTGTAATGTTTCAATGGACAGCAGACAGCCTACATACTTCTATTTTTACAGACAATTGGTTCTGCTCACTGCATGTAAGACCACATGTAGACTGGTGGTCTTCACAGGGGAAAAAACATCCCAGTTCGAGAAGCAGCTGAAGAGCCTGTATTTTTCTGTTGTTTTAAAATTTTGCTTCAAAATTACTTGTTTGCTTGAAAGAGGTAGAAAAGACTAGGTGTCTCCTTGGTATTAAGTTACATTTCCAAGAAGGACTTAGTAAAATATCTGACGTACTTAAAAAGGTAACTTGTGCTTTTGAAATTATAGAAAACTAATAATTACCTACAGCCCAAACACCTAAATATATTAAAATGTAGCATTTTGGTGTAATTTTACCAGTCTTTTTTTTTTTTTTTTTAAGTGGAGGTACCGGGGATGGAATCCAGGACCTTGCTCATGCGCTCTGCCTCTGAGCTATACCTCACCTCCTGACCAGTCTTAATTGAAAAAGAATAGATGATATGTTATATTTAACTTTGTATCTTGCTGTTATATTTAATTTTATATCCTGCTTTGTTCATATAACATAAGCATTTCTTATATGAAAGATTTTTAGGCTTTTTGACATCCACATAATGTGAACTCTCATGAATACACTCCAGTTTTCTATGGCATTTTTCTATTTTGCTGACTTTTATAAATTGGAAGTCATTTTAATAATGTGACAGTGCCAGAATAAGGTAGTTACAGCACCACTTATTTGCCCCTTCATTCCACATGAAAAGTGAAGACCAAGAGGGCAGGGACCTTGACGTTTTTATTTTTTTATTTGTTATTTATTTTAATTTTATTTTTTGGAGGGGAGGTAATCAGGTTTATTTATTTACTTATTTTAGAGGAAGTACTGAGGATTGAACCTAGGACCTTGTGCACGCTAAGCATGCACTCTACCACTTGAGCTATACCCTCCCCCCTTTAAAATTTTTTTAATTTATTTTAACTTTAAGGACCTTGACTTTTTGTTCACCCACACATTCCCAGAGCCTGGGAACACGCCCATATTCTTGAAGAAATCTCTGGTAATAGGTCTATTCCAGGAACAGGCCCTTTACCTAAATTCTTTAGGCAGCAAAGGGGATGGTAAAAAAGAAAGACTTCTTGAGTCTTCAGTCTTCCATTTCTTAAAAATAATCAACCTAAGTTGTCCTCATGCCAAAGAGACACATTTTGGGGTGGCAAGTTTTGCTCCCCTACGTAACAGACGTTCAATAAACATTTGTGAGCTGACTGAATCAGTGAGTAGGTGGCTCTGAAAGTCAGAGCTAACCTTCTCTTAGCATCGGGTGCTCTCTGTAAATGCCTGCACAACTCTATCAGGCAGGCACTGGTGTTATTTCTGTGTACTGCACAGGTGGAGAAAATCGAGGTTCAGAAAGGTTGAAAAAGTTGCCCAGGGTCATAGCTGTAAGTGACAGAGTCAGCGTTTGAATGCAATCTGTCTCCAGAGGAAGTGTATTTATCAAAATAGAGGAAATCCACAGTGGACTGTGATGATTTTACCATTATAAAAACTACCTGGGCTAGTAGGAGTGGCAAGAGATGAATATTCAGATACATTTGGATCTACCAGAGAAACATTCTGGGTTCAGACTGAGAATCTCTTTCTGGCTCCAGTCAGTGGATGGCCGGGTGACCAGTAAAGAGGAACAGTGGCATTGAACATGAGCAACTGTACTGTGTACAGAAAGGCAGGCCCAGGGACTTAAGGAAGCCATTTGCCATGGGACATGTGTGTATTTTGGATGGCTTCAGTTTACTTGCCCTGATGGTGGTCAGCTAGTTGGAACTGAACTCATAGCTCTGAAGTGAGATAACTCTACACCTTTGAAGTTAAGGTAGTTTGTTTGGAAAGTAGAGGAAACTACAAAATCAGAATGGGCATTCCTTTGAGGAAGACAGACAAGTAAGATAAATGGGTAACTGAAATCATTTTTCCCTGGTTGCATTTGTGCTTAATTTCCAGATATTTAAATTTTTTTGTGAATTACAGTGAAAAGTGGGATTTAGAGTTATTAGCTTTTGTTAGTTACTCTCTTGTCTTGCAGCTGCAATTTTATGTTGATAGTGTTAATTGGCTGGTTGGCTGCCAGAATCATGCAAATCGATGCCTTTAAGGCTCACCTTCAGGTGCAGGGTGAAATGGCCAAAGGCCCCTGTACATGCTCAAGGCAAAAACAGTAGTACTCACAGTAGAGAAAACCAAGTAGCTCTTGGGCTTCCTGTCTGCCTCTAAAACAAAAGAGTTTGACTCAGACAGCAGCATAAAAGTCAAATAAAATTTCCTTATGACATAATATACATATTTTTTTCCTTCTTGAATATTTCTGCCTGGTGAAACTGATGGGTAAGGAAACAGATTCAGTGTTCCATATGCTTAGTTAAGGAAGATACATTTGTTATTATTAATAGTGACATGAATAGCTAACTTTTATTAAGGTCTTACCATATGTTAATATAGGAGTTGTTTTGACCTCCTTCTAAGCCAGGTATCAGCAAACATTTGCTGTAAAAGATAGTAAATATTTCAGGCCTTGCGGGCCAGAAGTCTCTGTTTTCACAACTACTCAACTCTGCCTTTGTAGCAAGAAAGCTGCCGTAGACAACATGTAAATGATGGGCATGGCTCTGTGCTAATACAGCTTGATTTATAGGCACTAGAGTTTGAGTTTCATACAATTTTAATGTGTCATGAAATATTCTTCTTTTGATCTTTTCTTAATCATTTAAAATGCAAAACATTCTTAGCTTGGAGAGCATACAAAAACAGACAGGGGGCCAGATGTGATCTGTGGGCCCTGGTTTCCTGACTTCTGATCTATGCCTTAGCCTGTTTGATCCTCACAACCACCTGCAAGATTTTTTTTTAATGTTGGTATATTTGAATGTTGATTTAAAAAATATTTTTTAGAGCAATTTTAGGTTCACAGCAAAACTGAGCAGAAAGTACTGAGTTCCCATACATACCCTGCCTCACACCCACAGCATTCTCTATTATCGACATCCTGAACCAGAGAAGTACATTTGTTACAGTCAATGAACCTACATTGACACATCATTATCATTCCAAGTCCATGGGTTACATTAGAGTTCACTCTTGGTGTTATACATTCTATGACTTTGGACAAATGTATAATGACCTATATCAACCATTACAGTATCACAGGGAAGAGTTTCATTGCCCTAAAAATCCTCTGTGCTTTGCCTATCCATCTGTCCCTCCTCCTTAACCCCTGAAAAATATTGATCTTTTGACTGTCATCATAGTTTTGTCTTTTCTAGAATGTTATATAGTTGGAATCATAAGTATGTAGACTTTTCAGATTGACTTCTTTCACTTAGTAACATGCATTTAAGTTTTCTCCATGTCTTTTCATGGATTGATAGCTCATTTCTTTTTAGTGCTGAATAATATTCCAAGGGAATGGTATTTTTTATTCCATCCACAGATGAAGAAACAGGCACAGAAAGGATTAGTACCTTGCCCAGGTACAACTGGTTCAGACTTATCTGACTCCAGAGCGTGATCTCTTAAAATTTTTTACCATGCCTCTGAATCCCAGAGAAATTTGGCTTCTTATGATGAAGTTTGTCATGTGACAGAGTTGGGGTAAATGTAAAATTAGGGTAATGGAGCCAGACACTTTGCTTTCAGAAAGTATCCACAGCTTCTTGCATATCGAAGAGAATGAAAAACTTAGAAGACTTTGTTTCAAATATTTAGTTTAGATAGAAAAAATGTTGTGTGCTTTTGAAATTCTGGTTTAACATGCTCTCTGCTTTATTGGTTTGAGAAAATGTTTCTCTTCTCTGATCCTTAATTTTATTACCTTTCAGATTATATCTGGGTGCTGGCACCCAGCCACTTCTCAGCCAATGAAGTACATCCTGGTCACCGGTGGGGTCATCTCGGGCATCGGTAAAGGGATCATTGCGAGTAGCATTGGGACAATTTTAAAATCATGTGGACTCCGAGTTACTGCCATCAAAATCGACCCGTATATAAACATCGATGCGGGCACTTTTTCACCATATGAGCACGGTATACAAGAAAATCACTTCCCCCCATTAAAAAGCACTGGGTTAAATTGCAGTTCTTCCTTGTATTTTGGGTAATTTGTTTAGGATCGAGTTCCCGAAGTAGAGTTGCTGGATCATATGTGAATGGTCTCATGGTTACTGATACATTTTTCAGATTGCTGATGACATTCCAAATTAATCCACCCTTTTGGAAAACAGTGTGTGAGGATTCCATTTTTGTTGTACTTTTTGTAGTATGGATTTTTTTTTTGGAGGCAGATAATTAGGTTTATTTATTAAGTTTATTTATTTATTATGGAGGTACTGGGGATTGAACCCAGGACCTCATGCATGCTAGGCATGTGCTTTACCACTGGAGCTATACCCTCCCCACCTTAGATTATGTTTTGTTTTATTTTCTCATAAAGGTGATATATTTTGCTTAACATTTCATTGTTAAGAGGAATGCTCAGACAATATAGAATATATTGACAATTATATTGACAATATAGAATGACGTGAAGAAAATAAAAAGCACCCACCACTTACAATAATTATTGTTAATGTTGAAATGTTGATGTGTATACTAATTATTTTTAAAAAGGCACCAGCCCTCATTTACTTTCTTTTTAAACTTTTTATGTACAAGCAAGAAGGTGCATAAATCAAAAATGTACTACTTGATGAAATAAACATACTGTGTAAACAGCACTCAGATCAAGAAACAGAAACCCCCTTTAAAATGCTCCTTCCATTACATGCAATATAATGTGTATGTGCAGTCGAACTGTAATAATTGTACCTAATAAAACTGAAAAAGGAGAGAAAAAAATGCTCCTTCTAGTCTCTCTCCACTTCAAACAACCAGGATAACCACTATCCTGTCTTCTAACATTGTAGATTAGTTTTGTTTTTTTTTTCAGAGAGAGGAGAGGTAACTATTTGGTATATATATATATTTAACGAAGGTACTGGGGATTGAACCCAGGACCTTGTGCATGCTAAGCATGTGCTCTACCACTGAGCTATGCTCTCCCCTAGTTTTGCTTATTTTTGAGCTTTAAATGAACTGAATCTTAGAGTCATACTATTTTTTAATCTAACTTTAAAACTTAATCTATTGTGGACATTTTAATATATTCTGTACTCCTAAAGGCTGCACAGAATCTGTACAATAATAGCAAATAATTTCTAGTTTATTGATATTATAAACAACATTGTGATGGAAATCTTTAAAATGTTTTTTTTTTTAACATAAATGCCTAGGTACAGAACTTCTGCTTTGATAGGTAGGTATGTTTTTCAGGTTTTTAAAGGTAATATCTTTATACCTTTGGTGAATACTATTCTTTTTAAACTTTACTAACCTGAAAATACACCAAAAAACAAAAAAAAAGGTCGCTCATTATTTTTAGTTAGATTTTTTTTTTCATTTTTGTCTGTGGAATGGCTTATTTAAGTCTATAGTAGATGGTGTATTTGTTTGAAACTACCACCCAGCTTCTGTGGAGAAAATTTCCCTGCCCCACTGACTTTGGACTTTGGCCTTGTAGGATGGTTAATTTCCTGATTTGTTTGGAACTTTCCTGGTTTTGAAACTGAAAGTCCTGCATCCTGGCAACCCCTTTACTCCTGGGCAAACCAGAGAGATTGGTCACCTTATTTGGCTATGTGATTTGCTGCATAGGATATTAGTGACTATGACATGTGCCTTGTTGAAGCAGGACTTTTCAATGCAATGGCATGCTTTGGGCCAGTCTCTCTTGTGTTTCTGCCCTCTGCTGTGAGACCTGCCTGCCTCATGTAGGGGTTTCTCCTTCAAGCTGGATCCTAGAATAAGAAGACACAGGGTAGACTCACAACTGACCCCTAACTCCCCCATAACACGAGGAAGAAATCAATAAATGTTTTGTAAGTTGCTGAGATTTTAGGGTTGTTTGGTAGGCAGCAAAGTTGACTAATGCCATGTGTTATGCCAATTTTTCTTTGGATTCTTAAAAATGATTTTTCAAGAATACTTTATGTAGAGTATATTAACCTCTATTTACCACATGTATATATTTTTACTCTGTTTGCAATTTGTCTTAATATTACCTCTGTTCACTGCTGATCAATTTCAATTTATCATTTATGTGATTAACTGTATCAACTGTTTCCTTTATGGTTTCTGCCTTTGATGTCACCTGTAACCTTCTCCATCTCAGGAATATTTAAATATTCATCTGTATTTTCTTTTCATGCTTTTAGAGTTTCATTTGCTTTTATTTTATTTTTTTCTTCCAGTTTTATTGAGGTATAATTGACATACAGCACTGTATAAGTTGAAGGTGTACAGCATAATGATTTGACTTACATACAAAATGAAATGGTTTGACTTACATACAAAATAAGTTTAGTGAACATCCATCATCTCATATAGATACAAAATAAAAGAAATAGAAAAAAATGTTTTCTTTGTGATGAGAACTCTTAGTATTTACTCTCTTAGCAACTTTCACATATGACATAGAACAGTGTTAATTGAATTTATCATGTTGTATGTTATAGCCTTAGTGCTTATTTACCTTATAGTTGGAGGTTTGTACCTTTTGACTACTTTCATCCAATTTCTCCTCGCCCCACCCCCTTGCCTCTGGTAGCTACAAATCTGATATCTTTTTCTTTGGATCTGTTTGTTTTTGAAGTATAATTGACCTACAGCACTGGTGCACAATGTAGTGATTTGATGTTTCTATACATTTCAAAATGATCACTATCATTTGCTTTTACTATAACACTGCTAATATATCTGGAATTTAATTTGATGGGAGATGAGGATGTAACAGTTTTTTTTCCCTAAATTTTCTTCTGATTAGTCAACTATTCCTTATTGCAATTATCAAAGATTACATCCTTTCTCCACTGACTTGAAATACCACCTTTAATTACATACTAAATTTCTGTCTTTGTATTCTGTCCTGTTCCAGATCTCTTTGATTACTTCTGCCTACCATTTTAATAGCTGCAGCTTTTTAGTATCAAGTAGGTCAGGGACTTACCTCATTATTCCTTTAATCCTTTTTTTTATCCTCAAAATGTTAGTTGTCTTCAAGGTTAACTTTGGAGTCATTTTATCAGACTTTATAAGAAATCACTTTGGAGTTTTGGACAAAAATTTCTTCAAATTATGAATTAACTTGGGGAAGAATTAAATACTGAAAATATTGACTGGCCCATTCAGGAACTTTATAAGTGCCTTCCATTTTATCTATACCTTCTTTTATGTCCCTGAAGTCAAGTTTTTAAGTTTTCTTCATATAGAGCCTATATATTTCTTTGTTTTTTTTAGAAAATGGTTTTACTTCAAGTACAAGTTATATTTTAATTAGTTCAAAATAGATGTCTATTTGGGTCATTTTTGGACATTTGACCTATCTTTCAGATAGCTTTTAGTTTTATCTAAAAAACAATTGATCTGTATATACTAGAGTGGGTAGGTTTTATGGGCATAGTTCCCAAATTCCTACACTTTTCTTTGGAGTTTATTTCTGTGTATTTTATCTACCTTGATTTGTAATGATATCTTTGTTTTTTTTTTTAAGTCATATATTAAATTCCTTTATGTAGTAGGGACTTTTTTGGATATTTTGATTTTTTTGTAGCATTTGTTTATGTTATCTTGTTCTATATTTGTGTATATTGAAATATATATGTATACATAAATATTTCAGTCTTCCTTTACTCACTGTTATTTTATAAGGGCTTTTATTTTGATTTATTTTTTGGTGTGTTTTGTTTTGGTAATTATGCATGCTTTTCTTCCAAATTAAGTTAATTTTATTTATTTATGTTGTGCCATTTTTTTTTTAGTTTTATTTTTTGTTGAAGTGTAGTCGATTTACAATGTTAGTTTCAGGTATACAGCAAAGCCATTCAGTTATACATATACATACATAATATATACATATATTTTCAGGTTCTTTTCTATTATAACTTATTACAAGAAATTGAATATAGTTCCCTGTGCTATAGAGTAGGTCCTTGCCAAATTAACTTCAGTGTCACTGTCAAGTTAAAAAAAAATCTGTTGGAATTTTTATTATAATTGCATTAAATGAAAAAAAAACCCTGTTTTTGAAGTCATTATCTATAGCTTTTCTTTTTCTTCTAGGAAGATAATGGGTACTACTTTTAAAATTTAGGAATCTAAATTTCAAGACCTTTGTCATATATCTGGAGTATTGCCAAACTGGATTTGGCCTGAATTAACTCAAGAGGTTTCAGAGATCTTCCCCTATTTGTCAGAAGTTAAGAGGATCAAAGTACAAAGACTTTTTGATAGATTAACATGAGAAAGTAGAACTTGAACTGAAAATGGAATTTGGGAAATATGAAAATATTGCAATTTCATCATTTTGCTCTTTGTCCTTAAAATTAGAGATCTTTCCGACCACACCTTATGAGAACCTTATGAGTGAGACATAAATGAGATTATAAAAGGCTTTTGATTAGGTTCAGAAGCTAGCCAACCTTCTTTTTATGCTGTGAACATCTACCAATAGGAGTGATAGAATTTCCTTAATCAGGGAGAGATTCAGTTCCTACAAGATGGCTTTGGAATACTGGACTCCCAAATAATGTCCTCAAGGAATGCTGGAGACTCAGAGGCATGCCCAGTAGTCAATGGAAGTGCTCGTAGTGTGATTCAGCCTTCATTTATAGCCTTCTTTGTGGTGCTGTTGTGCAGGTGGCTTATTGCTCATTTTCTTTTTGGCCTCACTTTCACCAAGTTGCCCCGTGGGCTAGCAGGGGCTTTGCTTTCCATCTACTGTCCGTCTAATTGTGACTTTACCCAAGTTGGGAATTCATGAAAATTTTCTTATGCCTATTCCAGAGTCCAGAATACTGATGCTTTGAAGCAAATTGCTATTTGTTTTTAAAATTGCTGTTTATAGTCCGTTTTTCATATGGTATATAATAAGTTTGGAAAAGCTAAATCTTGAAGACAGAATGTCAGTAAGCATTTAAAAACTACCATAATAGAATACCAGAATTTTTCCAATGCATTTTCATAGATAGAATCGAATTGTTAAATTTTCCTATCAAAATAAGGAAATGGTGATAGAATATGGTTTATAAATAAGTCTTTTACCAGCTTTTTAATATAATGTGCTCATCTTTGAAAAATAATCTACTAAAGCAAATTTTTAATTTTTACATTGTCTTTTTGTCCCAGGTGAAGTGTTTGTCTTAAACGATGGTGGAGAAGTTGATTTAGATCTTGGAAATTATGAAAGGTTTTTGGATATTAATCTTTATAAAGACAACAACATCACCACTGGAAAGATATATCAACATGTGATCAATAAAGAAAGGCGTGGTGATTACCTGGGGAAAACTGTACAAGGTATTATATTCCACAAACATTAGGGGGCCCTGTGTGCTGAGCATGCACACTCTGCTCAAAATAGACCTGAAGATGAGGCGGTCCCTGCACTCTACAAGCTCTAATACTTTTCAGATCCCTGTGTTCTTTTCCTTTTCTTTTCTTTTCTCCAGTGTTATTGAGATATAGTTGACATAGAGCACTGTATAAGTTGAAGGTGTACAGCATAATGATTTGACTTACATACATCATGGAATGATTATCGCAGTAAGTTTAGTGAATATCCATCAACTCTTATAGAGATGCAAAATTAAAGAAACAGAAAAAAATTGTTTCCCTTGTGATGAAAACTAAGGGTTTACTCTCTTAACAACTTTCATATATAATATACAGCAGTGTTAATTATATTTATCATGTTGTACATTACATCCCTAGTACTTACTTATCTTATAACTGGAAGTTTGTACATTTTGACTCCCTTCATTCATTCCCCACCCTCCTCTGCTTTGCCCTCATAACCACGAATATGATCTCTTTTCCTGAGTTTGTTAGTTTTTGAAGTATAACTGACCTACAACATTTTGTTAGTTCCTGTTGCAAAATACAGTGATTTGATATTTCTATACATTTCAAAATGATCACCATGATAAGTCTAGTTACCATACAAATCTTTTATTTTTTATTTTCCTCAAAGGTTTCAAGTTCATCCACCATGTTCCTGATTGTACTTTCATCACTTTTTTTCTTTTTACTAATATTCTTTTCTTTACTTCATGTATCTGTCCTCTTTCTCTTTCCCATTTTGCTTTTATTTATAAAATCCATGGGGAACTATTTATTTATCATTTATTCATGTCACATCTGATTGTGGTATGGATTTATTTTGGCTTGTTTTGTCCGTCCTTTATTTAATACGTTCTTTTCCTACTTTTTTCTTGTATCTTTGCATGGATGATGATTATTCCCCCTTGAAGAAGGACAGCGTTGGGGAGGGACTGGAGGATTGAACTGGGGGATTGAACTGGAGGGCAGCATGATATGACCCTTTCCCCACCGACCCTTTCCCTGGGGGGTACGATTCTGATTGTCCTTCGTCCTGCAAGAGAAACTCAGGGGCCCGCTCCACCCAACCTTGTATTCATACGTTCCTACATGGTAGGGTAAATGTGCTAATTCCCCATCTCCTTTAAATCACTTTCATGTTGGAAAGCAGCTGAGAAGCAGATAAAGAAGTTGGACGGTTGAAGATCAAAAGATTAGCTATGTTACTGCTGAAACTGGATGGTGTGGCTTAGATTCTCAGCTATTGTGCTTTTTAATAGATTGCCCCCAAGTGTAGGCCCTGGGAAGACCCCCGGGGAGGGAGAATTGCTGACTCACACCTGCTACTTCCCAGCGCTGGGGAGAGGGCAAGGCCCCAAACCTGGACCCGGATCCGGGCGCAGCCTACCTGGAGGCAGAGCCTGCCTACCCCGCCCTCCCGTAAAGGGGCTGGGCTGGGCATGCGCAGTGGGTTGTACCAAACGCACCAATCAGAGACGACTTCCTCTCGCTCAGCTTCCCGGAGGCTAACTTTCCTGCTTCGTGGATTAGGTTAGTTGGCTGCATCTTTTTGTCACTTCGGCTGAGATAAGCATCTGCGGGCCTGCCCACCACCCAAGGGACCCCCCGGGCCTCTTGTACTGGTGGAGATGTCTTTTGGCCTCTTCTGTTGCCATTAAGCAGCCGCAGGCCTCCGGTCAGTACGCAGGCCTCAGGCCTCGGGCCTCGGGCCTCAGACCTCGTCTGCACCCTCTGAGTGGACCCCTCCCCACGGGCTAGAGGGCTGCTCACCGTCTGCAGGGCTGGGCCGCTCGATGTCATTCTTCCCCTTGGACTCCAGCATTCAGCACTCTTGGCATCCCTCCTGACAGTTTTTAGTTGGCCTTCGAGGTGTTTTGTAGTTGCATCGATGACGTCATTTCTGCTGGGGTTTTTTTTTTTTTTTGGTGGGGGAGGAAATTAGGTTTTATTTTTTTGTAGGGGGAGGTAATTAGATTTTGTTTTGCGTTTTTTTGAGGGGAGGTAATTAGATTTTTGTTTTTTTGAGGGGGAGGTACTTAGGTTTTGTTTGGTTTTTTTGAGGGGAGGTAATAGGTTTTGTTTTTTTTTGAGGGGAGGTAATTAGGTTTTGTTCTTTTTTGAGGGGGAGGTAATTTTATTTTGTTTTTTTTGAGGGGAGGTAATTAGGTTTTGTATTTTGGGGGGAGGTAATTATGCTGTTTCTTGTTCTCTGTGGTTGGTCGATTTCAAGAGAAATGGCATAACATTAAAATGACTAAATCTATATTGCATCTATAATATTAATTTCAGTGAGATGGATAATAAGATGAGAACTGTGGCTTGTTTCATTTGCGAGGGGGCTTTCAGGTTATTTGGGAGGTCTAAAGACACTAATACATTCGTTTCTCATGACCATGACCGTGAAACAAGCTTTTGTGCTAATTATTACTTCCTTCTACAGTTGTCCCTCACATCACTGATGCTGTCCAGGAGTGGGTTATGAATCAAGCCATGGTGCCCGTGGACGGTCATAAGGAAGAGCCCCAAATATGCGTTATTGAGGCAAGCATGGAACTTTTCTTTATGAACTTATATCCTTCTGGGTTTTTAAGTATCTGATCTTCATTCATTCAACAAACATGTATAGATGGCCTCATGTGTGCTGGACACCAGGCTAGGAGGTGGGATTATGGCAGGGAGCGATATAGATGGTCCCTGCTCTTGTGGTCACAAGTCAGTGGGCGAGATTGGCTTAAACCTAGTAAGCACTCCTGGGCTGAGCATGCAGTAGTCTGCAAGTGGGGACGAATCAGTCGCAGAATGCATTCTACTGAGCACTATTTGAGAATTATTTGCAAAGTACTTTGAAAGTAGAAAGAGACTGAGTTAGAGAAGTTCGACTGTAGAGGTGATTTGAAGGTGAGAAGTGAGTATTAGCTGTTTAAAGAAAGAGCATAGCATTTGTTCTTGCCACTTGTTTAGTGCGTCCCTTCCTTTCATTGTGCAGAATGGGAATAACAACCATGTACCTTATCTAAATGTCAGTTTACCTCATTGCCAGAAAGGACAGCAGAATAATGAACATTTTGGTTCCTGGAGGCAGCCTTCCCAAGTTCAAATTTCTGCCATGACCCCTGAGCAGTGTATGGTTCAGTGGTTAGGAGTCTGGGGCCATACTGCTTGAGTTCATAGCCCAGTGGGTCACTTACCAGCTGGGTGACCTTGGACAAGTTTGCTTAATTTCACTGTGCCTCAGTTTATTCATCTGCTAAATAGGGATACTGTTTTGAGGATTACATAAACCGATACATTTAGTGCTTAGATTATGTCAGATCTATAGTAAGTGCTTAAAAATTATTAGCCATTATTAAGATGCTTGTGTGACTTTTGGCAAATTACTTCTCAAAGCGTCAATGTATGCACCTATAACAATATGATAATGTAATATTGTAATTACAACAAGATGATAGTAACAGGGTTGTTGTGAGAATTAAATTTGATAATATAAAAAGCACTTGGCCATGTCTGGTGTTTAAGAAGTCCTCAAACATGTTAGCTGCTATTATTGTCATTGTTAGCAAATAGATATTATGCTATACACAAGATCCATTTTGTTAATAGTAGAGCTGATAATATTAACATAAATGCATTCTACTATATAACTAATATAATAATAATATATTAATTATATATTATGCTACTATAGTAGTGTGGTTGACAAACTTAATATAAATATATAAGTGGACCATAAAAAATTTTCTCCCCTTTGGTACTTCTTCCTTCACAATGTACAAGGCAAGAGAAGATCCTTCCTTTATAATTTTTTAAAAATCAGAGTATAACATAAACATAGAAAAGTGCACATCTCATAGATGTATAGCTTGATGAAATTTCATACACTGAACATGCCTGTATAACTACGCTTGCTTTCCTTAAAAATATTTAGTATCTAATACAGTGAATAGTTTGCAAACAAGTTAAAGCAATGACAAAATAGTGCAAGAAAAGAGAAAAGCTGGTAAAAACTCCAGGAAGGATCACAGCTGATACGAGGAGGATGTAAACCAGGGCATAGCTTGACTCTACGCTGAAGGAGACTTACACGGTCACTCTCTATTGATTTTCAGTTTTGGGGCTCCATCCCCAAGATGCATTAGAGAAGCCTTAAAAGCATCAATGTGTCATCAGCTTTAGAAGGAGGATTCAGGAGGTGGAGGGGGTGAAAGAATGCTGGCGGGAAGGAGGGAGAGCAGAACCTCATTTTAAACTGCGAGGGGCCACAGATATTGTTAGTAGTTGACTGAAAGAGAAGCAGACATATCTTAGGTTAGGAAAGTAACCAGTAGAATTCACCATTGACATTGGGATCTGGGGATTCACCATTGAGAGCTGCATCCTTATCTGTCCCAGCAGGAAATCAACCTGCATTCTTTAGAGTGAGTCTGAAATGGGTAAGTCAAGAAAGAGCCAAGCTGGATGAGCTTTGGTTTAGAGATACGGAGGTAACTACCAGAAGAAATCCCAACAGAGAAGTTAAAGCGCGTGCCTTGGGGAATCAGACTTGGGAGAGGGAAGGGTGGGATAGGGACCTCTTGCTTTTTATTGTAAGCTCTGCTGTACAATTTGGTTTTTAACCTCGTGCGTGCATTATTTTAATCTTTGAAAAAACACTTATTAGTATCAACGTGAAGGTGCCATTTAGCAGTTTCAGTATCTTTACAGTTCAGCCCAGGGCTGATTTTATTCAAGCGCTGCAGAGGGTAGGACAAGCCCTCATGCCTTTGGTTTACAATGGTTATTTGTTGTAGAGTACCACGTTGTCTAGTATGGTAGCCACTCACTGCGTGGGGCTGTTGGGCACATGAAAGTAGCCCGTCTAAATTGAAATGTACTGTGAATTTAAATATACACTGGGCTTCAAAGTCTTAGTATGAAGTAAAAAAAATTGTGATATGTTGAAATGATAGTATTTTGGATATTTTGGATATTTAACATTATATAAAATATAGTGTTAAAATTAATTTCCCCTGTTTACTTATTTATTTATTTTTCTAATTAATTTTTTTGGTGGGAAGAGAGGGAGGTAATTAGGATTATTTATGTGTTTTTAGAGAAGGTATTGGGGATTGAACCCAGGACCTTGTGCAGGCTAAGCATGCACTCTACCACTTGAACTATACCTCCACCCCTACTTTTGCTTTTTCAAATGTGGCAACTAAAAACTTTAAAATTATGTATGTAGCTCACGTATTTCTGTTGGATAGTACTGGTCTAGTGCTTTCACTGATTTTTGCTGTTCAAACAACAGGAAAGATAAAGGATCCAAAGTGTGTCCATTTTCCCAGAAGAATTGGTCCCTGGCCCAAAAGTAATGACCAAACCTGAACATTTTTATAAGTTTTCTATTGATTTTTTTTCTTTCTTTTAGTTTTTGTGGGTGAAGGGATAGCCTTTTCTTAAGACTGTTAACCTTAATCACAGGAAAAGTTCTCAGTGGTCATGTGTACCATTGTTTTTGCCTTTTATTCCTTGATTCTGCTCTTTTTTTTTAATTACATTTTAAAATAATAATCACAAAAAATGAGAAGAGGAAATGTAGTTTTTAAAATGTAATTGAGCTACCCTTGAACTTCATTAAAATATAAGCCCAGTTTGATCTTGGGATGAGCCTTAACACTTTTTCATCTTCTCAGCTCTTCTAGCTGCTGTTTTTTGAGAATCCTCCTTGAACAAAGCTTTTATGCTGTGAGAAGTTGTCCTCAGCAAAACCCCTTTTTCTCAATATAAGCCTGATGTTTGTATTTACTTTATTGGACACAAGGTCAGGCATCTTTTTGGGTTCATTTTAAGTTATGCTCGACAGTTATATTTTGCACAATTTTAGCTTTTGAGATGGACCACCAAGGCCGATATTCAGTTTTAAGCTTGTGGAAACTCTTGAAATGTCTCCAAAGCCTTTTTTTGCAGGTGAGATTTCTGCTTCTCAGACCAATGGAGCTGACAGGCTTTATTCATATCACTTGCAGTCATCCAAGCATGAGCCTGAAATAATTTACACCTGGCTTAAAGGAATAAAAGATTTCTTCCTTTTTCTTCTTTTTTTTCTCCCAAAAAGAACTCCTTTACTTTTATTTTACTTTTTATTAAAAATTCCTGCAGTTTTATTGAGATGTAATTGATATATAACATTGTATTAATTTTAGGTGTACAACATAATGATTTGATGTATGTATGTATTGTGAATTGATGACCATAATAAATTTAGTCAACATCCATCATCTCATATAGTTACAAATTTATTTTCTTGTGATGAGAACTTTTAAGATTTCAGATAAAGATTCCTTTCCTCAAAGGCAAAAATGGACATTGTGTATGTCATAAATTTGTTTGCTCCTGCTTCAGTTTTCACTTTGGATAGATCTTAAAATGTTGTTATGGGTGATACTTTCCCTGTTGTGCAGGCAAAGAATTAATTTAGAACTATTCTAACGATAATACTGAAAGTTTCTGATTACAATGATGATAATGGGGAAACAGAGGAGAGGTAATGGGACCTTCCAAATTGTCAGAGAATGCATGCAGTACCAGTGTAGGCCATGTGGGGGCGGAAGCAGATAATATTTAAAGGTTTTGTTTCCTTTTCTGGATTCCCTGTTTACTCCCAGAACAACCCTCATCAAAAACCAGAAAATGTTTTCTTATGATTTAGTTTAAGTGCAGACCTCTTTTTTCCCTAAAAAAAATTTCCCATTAGATTCTGGTGCATTGTAGTTAGTGAGCTCTTACACCTCTCACCCTCTGCAAGTTTCCTGACTGCATGTTTTATTTCTTGGATTTTCATAATTAAGTTTGTCATTCACTTAACAGAATGATCATATGTTTCTATCTGTTCTGTAGCCAGGAGACTTGAATTTTAATTTTGTTTTGTTACCTGAGTTAGTAAAGAATAATTTCTTCTGTAGCAGTGGAATCCTGAAACTTCTTAGATTGATTCTGTTGTAATTATGGTAAAAGGTACTAGAACGCTGTGACCTAGAGATGATATTGAATTTTGAGACCCTTCTGTCCTGTCCTGACCACTAACCTAAACTCCCAGTACTGCCTGCAGGGCTCTGGGCTTGTGCTGGAGATATGGCAGGCAAGTTCCTACCCTCACGGGGCTTATAGGCTAGTGGGATGGAGAGATGGGAATCAAGGACTCAAATAAAAGAATGGCACCTTGTGCTGTGTTCCTAGGAAGGGCAGAGACAGAGTGCTTTAGGGTGGGTGGTCAGGGTCGGATTCTCTGAGGGGGACACAGCTCTCAGGGCTGAAGGATAAAAGGGAGATAGGTGTAGATGAGGAGGGAGGGTAGGAGGGCTTAAGGGACAGGAAGGAAGAGCATGGTCCATCTGAGGACCTGAAAGGCTGGTGGGGCTAAAGCACACAGATGTGGGGGATGGGGGCATGAGATGAGATTAGAGATATATGCAAGGGTCAGATCATGTAGGGCCTTTTGTTGGCTGCTTAAAGTTTAGGTGTTTTTTTTTAGCGAAGCACTGAACCACTAAAAGGTGTAAGCACAGGAGAGACATATTCCGAGTTTTAAAGGTCACTCTGCTGGTGTCTGACAAATGGTTTGTAGGACAGGAGAGGGTAGAAGCTGGGAGGCCATTAAGATTGGGGACAGCCACCTTTTTCTGTAAAGGGCCAGGTAGTAAATATGTTTAATTTTGCCCATCACACAGTCTCTGTCCCAACCACACCACTCTGCCGTTGTGGTGCCAAAGCAGCTGTAGGCAATATGTAAATGAATGGGTGGGGCCTGTGCCAGTACAACTTCCAGTATAAAAACAGGCGGCCAGCCATAGTTAGCTACCTGGCTTAGATGATTGCAGTAATCCCTGCAAAAAGATGGTGTTGGCTTGGGTGCCTAGGGTAGTAGCAGTGGAGATCGCAGTGGAGAGATTTGCAAGAATGTTTTGGAGGTATGACTCACTGGACTGGGCTGGGTAAGGAAAAGGTGGGGGATTGGTGATGAGGAGATGTTATTGCTGAGATGAGGAGGTACCCAGACAAACAGGCCCAGGGGTGTGGGGCCCAGGAATTCAGTTGGGACATGGTAAGTTTGAGTACTTATTGATCCATCCAAGGTGTCAAGGACAAGTTAGCTCCAAAGCCTAGTGGTGCTGGGAAGGCAGGTCAGGGCTACAGGTAGTTTTCTGACCCAGTCGAGTAGCCGAAGCCAGGAAAGATGGTGAATTCTGGGACTGGCCCATCATGATCTCTTCTTCTGCAACATCCAGGTCATTTCACTTAGTGCTCACATTTTACTCTTGATTATTGTTCTTTAGCTCTGCCTTATTTTCCTCGCTAAATTCTGAGCTCCTCAGAAGCACGTTATCTTGAATTCTCACCAACACCTTATTTATGGTGTTGAATGTGTATTAGAGGCTCAGATGCTAAAGAATTAATTTAAAAGTCCGTGTTATCTTTAAGTATTTAAATATGGTGAGTTTAAATGGGTTAAGGTGAATTTTATCCTCGTCTAGAGTAAAATGCTTAAGTAACTTTACTGGGAGTACAGTGTAAATTAAGTTAACATTTATCAAAGGATTATGCTGTCAGGAATATTACCAGGGCTTTCGGTACTACTTGTTTCAAAAAGCTAGCATGTTTTAATTCTAGTAGTACCACCATTGCAAGGAGACTGTACAGATGTATGTGTGTGTGAGTATGTGTGAGTGTTCATGGAGAGAGATAGAATGCTCAGTGTTTCACACCAGGCAGAGCCAGGTGGCTCTCACTTTTCTCATATTGTCACTGGATTTGAATTCTACCTTCCACTAGGGACTGCTGGTAGAAACAGACTGATCTCACTCCTCTGTGGTCTATATTCTAGATCTTTTTGTCTGCTTATGAATTCCCTTCTCTTAAAGTGCTCCTTTCTTAAAAAAAATTTATTTCAACCTCGGTGAGATAACTGGTTGAGAGCTTTATAATGATACCCCATTTTTGGTGTGTGCAGGGGATTTACTAGACTGTACAATCCAAGTGAATCAATGACAGTGTGATTCATTTACTTAACTTAGTCTGTACCTCCACACAGTAGGCAGAGCAATCTTAACAAACATAGACATCTGATCATTCTTAAAGCTCTCCTTGACCTCACTTACTTCTCCCTTCTTGATGTCCTGCTTTCTCTCTTACCTGTTTACCTGGCTGTGTTATACTCTATCCCTTCTTTGTCTTTTATTTTCTAGTCTTCATTTTCCCTTCCTATGGCTTCATTTCCCTCTTAAACATACAGTGCTTTTCTTTTTCATTTCTAACAGCTTTAGTAAGGTTTAATTTGCGTATTATAAATTTCACCTGTTATAAGCATACAGTTCAGTGATTTTCAGTATATTTGCAAACTTCTGTTCTTCTGCAGTCATCAGACCTCATTTCTTATGCTTAGTGGGTTAAGAATTGTTCTCTTAGGCTGTGTACCACAGAAGATATTTGATTTCTTGTGCCTTTTTTTCCCATTCCCAGCTGGGTGGCACCATTGGAGACATTGAAGGAATGCCATTTGTGGAAGCGTTCAGACAATTCCAGTTTAAAGCAAAAAGAGAGAATTTCTGTAATATCCATGTTAGCCTTGTCCCACAGGTGAGCTTTCCAGATTACTGTGCAGTCAGCAACTCCTATAGGTCTTCCTATGATATTCTGTTTATTACACATTTTGTTTTATTTTGCAGGGGGCTGGTAACTAGGTTTATTTATTTTTAGAGGAGATACTGGGTATTGAACCCAGAACCTTGTGCATACTAAGCATCCGCTCTATAACTTGAGCTATACCTTCCCCCCACTGTTTAAACCACATTTTAAACCAGGGAGCCATTTATTACCCAGAAGAGCTAAGAGCATTGGTGGTTCAATGGTAGAATTTTTCGCCTCCCAGAAGAGGTAGATGTCCAGTGTACTGACAGCGACCCATTTCTTTTCAGCCCAGTGCTACTGGAGAACAAAAAACCAAACCCACACAAAACAGTGTCCGTGCACTGAGGGGCTTAGGCCTGTCTCCCGACCTGGTGAGTAAGGAGAGTGGGTAAGTTCGTGGAATAGGAAACATTTCCTAATCTGTAACATGTGAGTCCTTTCTAGCTCTCAGAAGGTTCCTGTGACTGAGCTTTTTGTATCTGGGAGCCAGGGAAGGCTTATTCCCTCACCCTCAGATGTTGCTTCACACATTTCTGAATTGACCATCTTTTCTTCTCCAGGGCCTCATTTCATTGGCCACATTGACATCTGGGCAAGTGCAGCATCCTGTCATTTATGTGATCACCTGGGTCCTTAGACAGAGGTGGGACCTGGGAGATTTTTCGGTGACAGTGGTCTAGATAAGGGGTTGGAAGTAAGGGCCTGCAGGCCTGCCTCCTGTAGAGGAGGTTTTACTGTGACGTGCTACCACCCATTGTCTACGTGTGTTGATAGCTGCCTTTGCACGTGGCGGTACCATTGAGTAGTCAGGGCAGCGACTGCACGCCCTGCAGAACCTAAAATTTTTACTATCTAGTCCTTTAGAAAAAGTTGGCCAACCTTTGGTGTGTTCTTGTAGTTTTAAAAAAGTAACATTTGTGAGCCTTGACTCTGTTCACTAAACATGCCTTGATATTTCTTACTGGTGGATTTTTTGTGTTGAATTTGGTTACACTTGCTTATATTAGTGTTCAGACAAATTTCTAGTTAGCCCAATGGAACGCCCAGGATGGAGAAACGCATACTCGATCAAGTCTCTTGCAGCGAAAGCAAATTAACATAGTGTCCTCCTGAAAACCAGTAGCAGTGTGAACAGCCCGCTTCCTGCCTGCTAACCCGTGCCTAATTGACTTTGACAGATTGTCTGCCGAAGTTCAACGCCCATCGAAATGGCTGTGAAGGAAAAGATTTCTATGTTTTGCCATGTGAACCCTGAACAGGTTAGTGCTGCTCTTTAGATTTCATTGCCTTGCAGGCACTTCTGTTGATGCTAGCGTTTTACACCTCTTAAATTATACTACTTTTCACAACATTTAGAAACGCTTTGGGGAGCTCGTATGCAACTATGGTTCCCTTGCTCTTAAGTGAACAATTTTAAGACCCCTGACTCCTCAGATAGATTGCATATTTCTTTGCATCATCCCTCCTTAAATTTTAATTATATGTACAAAACCAAGTGGGCTTTTTTTTTTTTTAAACTCGCAGTCCAACCTCTAGAGAGAGAACCCTGTGAAGCCTGCTTATTGTCTCTCTATCTTGTCTTTTCAGGACACTTATGGCTTTTACTTAAATTTCTCCTTTGTACCTGTTACAGCTTAACTCTCCCCAAAGCACACATTACGGTGACATTTACACTGTCACTTCTGATTATATCAGTGGCCTCAGTTCAATTCACTGCTACTAAAACTACTGGGATTTGGGTTCAGGTCCTCTGTTCTGCAGGACTTTCCACCTGGGTATCTGAGAGCCAGCTTTTCTTTTTATTTTCATTCGCTTATCTCTGTCTCTTGTTTGCAATAAGGCTCAGGCACAAGGGAATGGAGTTCAAAAAGTGATATGATCGACAGTCTTTTAAAAAGTGATACGACTGGTGCTCAGAAAAAGGGTGAGGTTGGGCAGGCAGCTTTTGTTTTCTTCAGATTAGCTCTGCGTTCTCTGAAGCCTAAAAACTGCCTCATCAGATCTTTGTGTCTCAGGAGGCAGGTGATGTATTCACTGCCCTATGCTGTGGGGTCAGTGCACAAGTTTGAACTACTTTGAGAAATGTGATGGCAGATTTAAAGCACTCTCCTGTATTTATATGTCATCAAGCCATTTTGGGTTTGTTCAGTTGTTTTTTGTCCCCTTTTTATTGGTAACTGGTACGTGGTGTGGGTATCACACATGTTTAACTTGGCTTCCCAAGCAGAAGGAGGATACAGCTTTTAGAGCTGGATTGCTGAGAGCTCTGAGAACAGGAGATACAGTCCAAAGTCTCAAACATAAAGAGTTTATTTTCTAGGTAACTATACATTGTGAAGAAGGTGCTACCCCAGCAGTCCACAGGCTAGTTTATTAGCCATTTTTTCAGCACAGTGCTTTTTCTGAGTTAATTCTCCCATTTCTTAGTTCCTAGTGCACTTGCATTTAGAGCTCTTCTCATCTGGATTGCTGAGGAAGTGAGGGAGGGTCAGAGGTGTCTCTGTGGATGTGCTCTGTTACCATATTTGGAAAAATGTCCCTGGCCTGGAGGATAAATGAGTAAATAGCTCCACACTCCACCCTTCCACTTGTGGGAGTTGTGGCTGTCTAGAGATTTAATTTTAATTAGTAATTGGGGTGGAGCCTCATATCTGTGACATCTTGGCACTTTGGCATCGGGGAGCACACAGTGAGACACAATAGTCTTTAAGTATCAAGTGGGCAGTTTCCAAACAGCTTAGGAACCCTTGGTTGGATAGCTATGGATTTGGAAAGACAACACATAGAGTTGGCAGAGCACTTCTTAGCATTTATTTAGGATGTGGCAGATCCTTAAATGCATGCCAGTAGCCCCTTGCATGTACTTGAGAGGGTGGTGAAAGCTCATTAGGGTGAAAAACAACCACACCACCCGACATTTAAAGAGTCTGTCTTCCCTCACAGGTGTAATTAATATGACTGTGTTCAATGTGTACTTGTAAATTTACTCAAATGAAGGGAGCAGACAAAAGCAACTACAGCAGCAGCAACAACAAATGAATGAGCAAACAGACCTTGTACCCACACTTAGAATATGAGGTGTATGTATTCATTGCTGCTTCTTTAACCTAGACCTAGAAGATGGCGCCTTGGGCCGTATGTCTTGGATGTTGACGTATACCTACACCAAGCATCCAACACCAAGTCTCTGAAACTCCCTGGGGGCCCTGCAGTTCAGTTCAGATACTGACTGCCTGGAGTGAGCATCAGACTCCATGGGCTTAAGGGCTCAGTCCTTTTCAAGACTGCTGTGCACTTCAGACACCAGCCACAGGTTCCCATTGTCCCAAGCCACCCACACTTTTCGTCTGGCTGACTACAAAGTTGAAGCTTCCCTTAACCCCCTCAGGTCTGATAATTCTCTAGAATAACTCACAGAACTCAGGAAACTGCTATACTTATGATTACTGTTCTATTATAAAGGGTGCAAGTGAATAGCCAGATGAAGAGACACATAGGGCAAGGTCTAGGAGAGTTCCAGGCGCAAGAGCTTTGTCCTGGTACATCTGTATATTCACTAATGAAGATGCTCCCTTGAGTCCCACTGTTCAGTTTTTATTGGGGTTTCATTGCATAGGCGTGATTGAGTAAATGATTAGTCATGTGATTGAACTCAGTCTCTAGTCCCCCTCCCTTCCCTGGAGGTCAGGTGGCTGAAACTTCCAGCCTTCTAATGACTTGCTTGGTTCTTCTAGTGACCAACTCCCATCCTGAAGTCATCTAGGGGCCACCCTGAGTCACCTTATTAACATAACAAAATTACCCCTGTAACTCAGGAAATTTCAAAAGGTTTTGAAGCCCTGTGCCAGGAACTAGGAATAAAGACCATTTATATATATACATATATATATATATATATGTACACACACACACACATTTATTTATTTATTTATTTACTTATTTATTTATTCATTTTACCACAGCGTCCATGGATCCAGATGTAGAATAATGAGTTCAAAGTGTTTTGTAATTAAATCAAACCAAGCTTGTGTTAATTCTGACTTTTGTTTAGGTTGCTGTCAGTATAAAGTGCCCTCTCTCTTGAGTTTGGCTCATTCTTGGGGTATATTTGAGTCGTTCAATTAAATATGGTGTTTTATCCTCATTGATCAGGTCATATGTATCCATGATGTTTTTTCCACCTACCGAGTGCCTCTGCTTTTGGAAGAACAAGGCATCGTTAAATATTTTAAAGAGAGATTGGACCTGCCCATTGGGGATTCTGCAAGTAATTTGCTTTTCAAGTGGAGAAATATGGCTGACAGGTAATGTGAAAGGAATTACTAATGTGATCTTTAATAATTCTTGGGTTTGGAGCTAGGACTGAGGTGTGCCTTAAAAGGTAGCATTCTGCTTTCTGCATGAGTGTGTTTGGTTCTAAAGCTCTAGCAGATCATTAGGGTGTTTTGCTATATTCTTTGAAGATGTCTGGGGCGTTTGATTTTGCTATACTTAAAGCAAAGTGAATTTAAGGGATATGGATTCCAGAAATTATTTTTTAATTTTAGAAGCATTTTGATTTATTTATTAGTTTATTACTTACTTTCTGAATATTTTAAATAGTTTTAAATGCTGCAGATTTGGTTTTGTTTTCTTTTGCTTATTTTCAAGATTGGGCTAACATTTCTTACAGGAAATCCTTTTGAAAGTGAGGTTTGGCCTATAGCATTGTCATTCCATCCTGCAGTTATTAACTATCAGCATCGGTAGTAAAACCCTAGATAGGGTTTAGCTTTAAGACAACCATATGAATTTCAGCAAGGTTTATCTAATTTGATGACATATATAGATTAAATCCCCATCACCTGTTTTCGTTTATTAAACATAGATGAGGTGTGACTCTACAGGCTTGGCTGCTCGACTTTTAATGCAGCTTAGGTAGAGGCTGCAGTTACAAATGTAGGCTCTGGTGTTGCTGAGGAGTAGATTTTAAAAGTTCTCATCACAAGAAAAAAAAATTATAATTATGTGCAGTGATGGATGTTAACTAGAATTATTGTGGTTATCATTTTGTAATATATAAATATATTGAATCATTATGTTGTGCATCTGAAACTAATGTAATCTTGTATGTAAATTACATCTCAATAAAAAAATGTAAGCTCTGGTGTCAGGCACTGTGAGTTCAGACCCCGCTTCTCCTTTCACTAGCTTGTGAGTTTGGCCAGATTACTAAGCCTCTCTGGGCTTGTTGTCCCATCCATATATAACTGGAGGATCCTAGTACCCATGTTGTGGCAATTATAAGACAGAATATATTGGGCCTTCATATCAGGCACTATTGGTTACTGATATCGGTAATAGTAATTAAAATGATTTCATGGTGGCAAAATCAGCAAGCTTTGGTAGACAATTATTAGATAGTAAGTACTTTTGCTCTTTCACTTTAAAATTTAAAAAATGTTTTAGAATTTCTGGGGCAAGTAGAATCAGAAACGAAGTGCATTTTCTGAACTTGGGTACTCTAATGACCTGTGATAAAACTAACCCCTGTCCTCCAGAATGTTAAGGAATCAGTGACTTTGTAGGGATTTTCTTAGTAGCTTGGGGCTGATCCTCTTTAAGTGCTAGAAACTTTATTATTTTAACTCTTTGTATTAAAAATAGTTCTAAATTATACTCTATGCCTCTGTGCTTTTTAAAGCCAGTGTTTGGTCTTCATATTAGTTTCCTGTGTCTACTATAACAAGTTACCACAGACTGGGTGGCTTAAAACAACAGAAGTGTGTTCTCTCACAATTGTGGAGGTCAGAAGTCCAAAATCATGGCATCAGCAGGGTTGCTTCCTTCTCGAGCTCTGAGGGGGAATCTGTTCCACACATGTGTCCTGACTTCTGGGGGACAGCTTCCTTGGTGTTCCTTGGCTTGTGGCGGCATCACTCCAATCTCTGCCTCTGTCCTCACATGGCCTCCTCCTTTGTGTCTTCTCGCTTTCTCTTCTTTTATAAGGATGCTTCTCTTTGCATTTTGGGCCCATTCTGATCCAGGATAACTCATCTAGAGATGCTTAACTTAATCGCACCTGCTGAGACCCTTTTTTCCAGAAATGCTCACATTCGTAGGTTCTAAGGGACATAAATTTTTTTGGAACCACCATTCAGCTCATGTCAGACTTCAGGCAAAGGGGATATTGAGCATCAGTCCCTCTGCATCACATTGGTCGTGATGTTGTTTCACTGGTGATGGCGGTATAAAGTGTCCATTCTTTAGGCCCTGTCCCTTCAGCGCAGCCTGTAGAGAGATAGATACAAGGAGGCAAACACAGGTCAAAGGGGCAGGCTTGATCATGGAAGTCCAGTGCTGCTCAGAGGTCAGGTGGTCCCTGTTAAGCTGGATAGGAGAACTTGCCTGGGACCTGAAGTGGGACAGCCTTGTCTCCCCAGGAACCTTCCTGTTGGGGCTGGGTCTGCCTCCCACCAGCAGCTCACAGCGGTATCACCCAGCTGATGGCTGAATGGAGAACATGAAGGAGATGAGAGAGATGCTTGGCTGGTCGGAGCGCTGCTCTGTGAGCCCAGCTTCCAGGTCTGAGAGCAAAAGAGAGCACCAGGGGATTGGGCTCAGGATACCTTCCTGGATGCAGCTGGACTTCTTCCTCCACTGGACTGACTCAGTATTCTCACCCATCCCACCTGGCTGCCAGGTGACTCCTTCCCTGGGAAGACCACATGTGAGTGAGTGGAAGGTGGGACTGGCAGTGCTGACTGTAGCCCTGCGTCCTTCTGCAGAGCGGAACTGACATCCCTCCCCCTCAGTGGAGGAGTGGGCCTGGGATGAGGGGTTAGCCAGGCTGCCGTGCTAACATGTGGTTGTGATTGCCAGTGCCCATGGGCCATAGCCTGGGGCAGGATGCTCTTACCTCTGACATCATCTTGGAGTCTTGGCTTGATACCAACTCACTTTGTTACCTGAGTCCTTTCTGTAGAGGTGGGGTGAAGCACAGATAGGCAGGCAATCTCCAGAGGGACATAAAATTAAGTAGGAAGGTAAAGGTTCAGCAGCCTTCTCTCAGTTCTCTAGTCACCTTCCTAAAAAGTCACCTTTGCTGTCAGTTTTGATTTCTTAGCTCCTTGTGCATTTTTCTCCCCCTAGCCTGTTTCCATCACGCTTCTCTTGCACTTTTGCAGATATTGGTATGAAAGAGGGATATTCTTCATCATGGTAACATTTTTGTTCTAAGGTGTGGGGAAGGGTTTACTTCAAAACCATAAAAGATCTTTAGCCCCAAATGACATTTCCACATATTTAGTACCAGACCAGACATTTTTCGCGTTCTTTGAACAGCTCTCCTGACAAAAGCAACAGTAAAGATTGTAAAGATTGTGTCTCTAATGGTAGAATGTGATTGAGCATCTTATGTAGAATGGAATTTTCTCATAAAAATGATCCAAATGGCTTAAAAGATTTTAAATAGTTCTCTCAGTACCATTCTTCAGGAATGCGATGAATAGCCTGGCTTTCGTGGGCCAGCTGGGAATGTAATAATTTTTAATGTCAACACTTTGAATGCATTTTCTCATATAATGTCACCTTACAAAGTTAATATTGAAGTGTTTCCTATTGACACAGAAAATGCATTTTCTTATTCAATGTCACTTTATAAATGAATTTAAAAAGTGCCTTGGGATAAGAACACTGGCTGTCATTATGCTTGTGATGTGATGTTACATGCATATAACCTTTAAGTTTATTTTCCTTCCCAGATATGAAAAGTTACAGAAAACATGTTCCATAGCCCTGGTTGGCAAATACACCAAGCTCAGGGACTGCTATGCCTCCGTTTTCAAAGCCCTGGAACACTCAGCCTTGGCCATCAACCACAAGTTGAATCTGATGGTAAGCCCCCACCTGGTCTTCTGCATGTTTTGATCTTTTACCATGAAATCTCATGTTGCAGAGAGGCAGGTTGTGTTGAAGGGTCCCCATGTCCACTTCCAGGATTGTTGATTCTCCACGAGGACTCAGCATACAGCTGTACTCATAACTATGATTTATTATAGCAATAGAATACAGAGCAAAACCAGCAAAGGGAAAAGGCACATGGATGAAATCTGGGAGAGACCAGGCGCAAGCTTCCAAGAATCCTCCAGTGAAGTCACGGAGGACATACTTAAATTCCCCAGCAACGAGCTATAACAACACATGTGAAGTGTGCTGTCTACAAGGGAAGCTCATTAGAGACTCAGCACCCAGAGTTTTTTTGGGGGGGCTAGTCATGTAGTTGCCCTCTGTCTCCTGAGTGTCAGAATTCCAGACTCCCAGAAGGAAAGCGGGTGTTCAACATAAGTCATATTGTTTCTACAAACACTAGCACAGTGGGCCACTCTTAGCAGTTCTGGGAATGGTTGAACCCTCCCCAAATCCAAGTTTCCAGATGCCAGCCAAGGGCCAATCTTGTAAGCGGGCCTTTCCAAGGATAGCAATCAGGCCTGCCATGTTAACATTTTTTTTTTCTCCATGCAGGTTTCAGGCAGTTCTTGAAATTAGGCTTTGCACATCTGGGGACATACATCCTTCATGCTCATTTAAGGATATTGTATTTGTCTAATAAGAAAATAATGGAACACTTTTCCCCTTTAGCATTGGAATTGAATCTAGATTTTAAAAATGTCATATATATATGTATATGTATATGTATCCTCCTTCTAACTTGGAGGACTATCTGGCAAACAGTGATTATTTTTTTTTAAGTCAGTATTATGGGATAGCAGAGGTGGAGTTATATATAGCTTGAATATATTCTTTATTGTTGTTATAGAAGTAGTATATGTTCAATGTAGAAAATCTAAGCAAAGCATAATGTAAAATGCATAAAGTGGAAGATTCTTCCTCCCTGAAATCCCACTTCTCTCTTGTACCTGTTGTTCCTAGATTGATGTATATCTTTATAGACTTCATTCTCTCTATGTATAAACGTTTATATTTAGTAATATTCTCTCTGGGTATACCACAGTTAAAGGAAGTCTTATTATCTTTTTTTGGAGGGGGAAGTCTTATTACCTTGATTTAAATGGTAAAACCTTTATATAATGAGCCAAAGGATACACTTACATGTATGATAAATTTAGTAACTTCCAGCTTAGGACTGATCTGATTTTCTCACTTCTTTGTAGCTCCCTTCTCTAATCACTTTTTATTTTTGACTTTCCAGGGTATAGCTCCCTTCCTGTTCTTCCTATTCCTTCAAGTCCCCTACTCCCTCATAGGAAAAAAAAAAAAACAGCAATAGAAAATCTGTTATAATACAAATTTTCTAAAGTAAAATTTTGTATCTTTAAAAATTTTGTTTTTTGGAGGGGGAGGTAATTAGGTTTATTTAATTTTTAAATTAGGTTTACTTACTTACTTATTTTCTTAATAGAGGTACTGGGGATTGAACCCAGGACCTTGTGTATGCTAAGCATGCGCTCTACCACTGAGCTATACCTTCCCCCTAAAATTTTGTATCTTAAGATCTGTTCAGATAGCAATTTTTTTCCTGACGTTTCAATCCTTTATTTATAAAATGATTTGTCTTAAAATATTTCAATCAAGAAAATTCTTTTTTTTAAAAAATATTGAAGTATAGTTGATTTACAATGTTGTGTTAGTTCCTGTTGTACAGCATAGTGATTCAATTATACATGTATATATATATTCTTTTTCATTTAGGTTATTAGAAGCTATTGAATATAGTTCCCTGTGCTGTACAGTAGGACCTTGTTGTTCATCTATTCTGTACATAGTAGTTTGTATCTGCTAATTCCAGATAGTAAGTTTTACAATAGGAATACTAAAATCATACAGATATATGGGGACTTTTATGTACATAGGAATTACTGTACATGTTTGTACGTTTTTCATTTAATAGAGTGCATTGGCAGTAGCTTCTGCTAAGTACCGTTTGAATCATGGTCTTGTGCTGTGTTTACCTCTCCTGGCTGTCACGGTGACTTTGCAACTGGTTTTCAGTCTTCCCTCCATTTCCCTCATTGTGCCACAGTGACCTTTCTAAAATCACTCTCTATTCCTTAAGACTTTCATTGGCTTCAAGGGTAAGCTTCTTCTCTTACTGGGTGGAGTCTCTTGAGGTCCCCAAAGCAGTCACCACTTTCTGTCTTTCGTCTGAGGGTTCATCCAAGCTGTTCCTTTGTCTCCCCCCACCCGTCTCCTGCACACCTTGCCACTTGCCTCCTAGCTGCACACATGTGCTTGTCTTGCTTCTGCTCATCCTCAAAGGCTTAGCTTCTTGCACATCTCCTCCCCAGAGGGCTTCCCTGAAGGAACTCCTTCCTGTCTTCTCTCCGATCTGGGTCTAGATCAGGCTTCTGATTCCTTCTGTAGTGTTCTCTTCTTTGCCCATTGTAGTCGTTATCTCCCTGTGGTGTGGATGCCTGCTTATTTGGTTTCATAATCTTCCTGAAAGATTACAAGAGCTCCAAGACAGAGATGGTGCTTTTCTAAGCTAAGTGACTAGTACAGTGTCGGCATGATAAGTAGCTTTTGAATAATTCTGTCTGGGTTAGATGACTCTATTATTTTCCAGTATTTATTTTTCTTAAATGTTCCTTTAATCTGTTGGATGTTTTTAGTACATAGACTCCATTGATCTGGAGCAGACTACTGAAACTGAGGACCCTGTGAAATTCCATGAAGCTTGGCAGAAGCTATGCAAAGCTGAGTGAGTATTGAGGAACATCCACACCAGTTAGGAGGATGCCGTTGTGATTTTTCCATAATGATTTGATTTACCCCAGTTACTAATTTTTGTGCGTTTTGAAAGGTAGTTTGTCATACTTGTGATTCTGAGTGGTTGTGCCACATTCATACTGCACTTACTTTAAAATGTGCCATGTTAATGTTAGTGGCATGTGCAGTAGAAATGGTTTGATCCTGGGGAGGTTGGAAATACTGTATTGGGGGGAAAGTGCGTTGATGCTACTGAAAGATGCAGAGATGGCCCTTAAATATTCAAAGTTAAAGTGTAAGAATGACAGCCCTCCTCTCTTGGGTTTATGTTCTTTTCTACATCATTTGGTTGTAGGTTTTATTTTGTAAGTAATCCATAGAACTCTTCGAGGTGGCATTGGGTTGTGAGGGTAGCATGACCCTCCGGTTTTTCTGTTGAACTCTTTTCTTTTCAAATGAGAGTGTTTACACCGAAAGCCTCTAAAGGGTCTCCTAGCCAGGAAATTTTCCTGTGCCTCTACTAAATTAGCAATCAAAATCCAAGGCCGATTTTACCAGTTTAACTCTTTCTGATTATGTAAAATATCTTAACATTTTTGTAATAATACTTATAAAAGAACCGCAACCTATTTTTATTCAGATAATTCTTTCAGAGGCATTTTTAATTGAATTGAGTTTTTCAGTCATTGTGCTCACCTCCCAGTGTCAGTTGTGAGAAATTTTTGCACCTTCTTTATAACATTGGGAAGATTTTGAGAAGAAAATTCAGATGTGAACTCATGTAACCAATTCTGAAAATAGACCCCCAAGCGTATTCTCTAGCAATTGTGCCAAGTGTTGGATTTGGGATCAGTAAGCATGAATGACTGCAAATAAGAATTTTACAAATAAAAATAACATCAAAGTCACCCTCATTTTGTGTCGACTGCAGTGGTGTTCTTGTGCCAGGAGGCTTTGGAATCAGAGGAACGTTGGGAAAACTCCAGGCTATTTCTTGGGCAAGGACACGGAAGATTCCTTTTCTGGGTGAGACTGATGTTTATGAATTCTGACTATGAGTTTTTTAGATTTTTAACACCTAGTAGGGATAACACTTAATAGGGTTTGTTAACATGAACAATGTGATCTTGAAGTTGAGCATTCAGGTACCAAATAGTTTGCTGCGGGGTCTGGAAACTATATTCTGCAAGCCATACCCGGCTTGCAGTACAGTGGCAGAGTTTGAGACCCTATAGCCTGCAAGGCCTAAAATCTTTACTTTCTGGCCCTTTCCAGAAAAAAATTTCTCAGCCTAGGAGAACTTACCACTCTTCTGGTTGGGTAGCAAGAGGTTGGGAAGAGCTGTTGTTCATACCTGTCCTTAACTTTGTCTGATTCCCACCTGAATTCATCTTTTACCACTTCAAGCAGAGAACAGTTCAACAGAATTCCACCATGTTATTTCTAATCAGAAAGAAAAAAATTTAAGTTAAAATTTATATGCACTTTCTAGAAAAGATAATACAGAAAGACCATCCAGTGTGACAGGGACAGCTCTGTTAAGATTTAGTAGAGCTGGGTCCTTGTACTGCTTTTGCTCAGATTGTAAAGCTTGGCTTCTGGAGCAGTGAAACCAGATGAATTGGAACCTTGATAGTATACAGGCAACCCTGCAACTGGGAATTCAGAAGAAGAGGGAGTACAGAGAGGCTGTGTTTCATGCTGTGCTTGCATGTGCTGGTGGGTTTATGAACTAAGTGGGCCAGCTCTGGTACCCTTTACTTAATATCAGCAGACTGTTCGTTTTCTACATTGCCTCTTCTTTGATTAGCTTCCTGGATGCTGTCCACTTGGGATCCATTTTCAAAAGAGAAGCCGAGAGTCGTTACCTTGATACCTGGCTTTGTTTTACCCATCTAAGCTCATCTGGGCCACTGTTTTCTTCTGAAGTAATCTTGTTTAGTTTCTGTCTAAATGTGCTTAGCATTCTTCAGATAATTTTCAGTGTGTAGAAAGAAGAGTTTGCAGCTCTTTGCCTTTCTCTTTCACACAATGTCTCTATGTCCTGGCCTTACGGAACTTTCTGACGCACTCAGCTGTTTCGTGCTTATTGACTTCTGTTCTGGCCGCCCAGTGTATTGATTATTCTCTCCTTTGAGCCCCTTGTGTCCCTTGTTTATGTCTGTCAGAGCATCTGGAGTGCTCCTTGGCATTTGTTTCTTGGGGAGGCTTGGTGGGCTGCAGTGAATATGGGCACATCCCTCTGGCCACAGGCCTGGGGCTGCACAGGCCTCTTTTTCTCCTTACTGAGCTCTCTGTTCAGTTCCATTTGCATCTACATCCCGCTTAAGCCCACAGGGGAGGTGCCAGCTCCCCCAGCTGCTGCTTTTTCCCTGCAGTGAGGCTACAGGGCTATTCTGGGCTCAGCAACCAGGCACAGACCTCCCGCTCCACTGCCCACCTGTAGGTGCTCCTTGGATCGCAGCCCACTGGCCAGCCAGAGGCTGCCCATGGTCAGAGCCCGTATTTCAGGCTGTGAAAGTACCTCAGGAAGAGGAAGTGTGAAACCCCAGCCCACGGAGACTCCCTCTTGCGTTGAGGTGTTGTTAGATATTCTCTGATGAAATCAGGGGCTCTGGGGTAGCCCTGCAGCCCACACGTGTGCCTCGATCTAGAGACAGATTTGGAGGGGGTCAGATTTGCCTTTTGGACCTTGCCCTGTCCTTTCCTGCCCTTTTCCAGTCTCACATTTATTGCTCCTCAAGTTTGGGTCGTCCAGCCCCTTCCCTGCCCCTGCCACACATGTTCTGAGGGCAGACACTACAGCAGTGAGCTCAGTGGGCCATCTTGCTCTGTTGAGGCCGATGGTGGCTTGGATGGAGGCAATATACAGCCAACAAATGAATAGAAAATACGAAGTGATGCAAAGTATGTTCATTTCTTTATGTATGTACTTTTTAAAATAGGAGTTTGCCTTGGAATGCAGCTGGCAGTGATAGAGTTTGCAAGAAACTGCCTTAACTTGAAAGGTAAGTCTGAAATTTTCTAAAAATCAGTTATTAAAACAGTTCTTATTATTTAAAATATTTTTCAGCAGTATTGGTGAGTTATTGAACTCATTTCGTTTCTTAATCTTCAGATGCTGATTCCACAGAATTTGACCCGAATGCCCATATTCCTGTGGTAAGTGGCTTGTTTATCTTTCTCGGTTGAGTCACTTGTCATTTTGGTTCTGGCTCTTGCCTAAATGCATAAGGGGCTGTTATTATTATTTTTTTCATTCTAACATCAGGACATTTTAATTATGTATTATTATTATTATTGTTATTAGTTTACATCAAACTGCTTTGTTCTTAGTAGTCCATCTTGTCAGCTGTGTCTTGGAGAAAGTCATGATCGTGGACTGGTTTCTCTGTGCAGCAATTTTCAAGCTTAATGTTTAGGAAAGGATTGAGTTGACTGTGATGACACTTTACACACAGCTAATGCAAATACGTGGGCTGTCCTGTCTCTAGACCCATCCCTGTCTGTTCTTCCACTGCTCCTCATCTTCCACCAGTGTCTTTTCCGGTAACATATTCAGTCCAAGGTTCTGGCTGGGAGCCAAGGCCATTGTGCTCTGTCACCTGCTGCTTTGCTAATTCATCCCGTGGCATCCCCATCCCTCCTGTGCTTGGAGTTTTATAGTTGGACAATCTGAATGAGTTCTTTAGATGTATCCTGAGATGCCCTTATACCTGAGATGTCCCTCTTCCTGCAGCCTCCCTACCCCTAGAATCTCAATAAAACCACTGAAGCATTTAATTAAAAAATAAACCAAACCTGATTACTGACAACTTTCTGTTCCTCTTGGGAAGCCTTTCCTGATCTCCCTTCTTTCCTGGCCTCTGCCTTTTGTGCCTCACACCCACCTCTGTCAGAGTGTACACCTCACCATGTGATTGATTTTTTTATTAATGGTTTATTGAAATTTAATTCACATACCATAAAATTTAGCCGTTGAAAGTGTATAATGCAGTGACTTAGCACATTCAATAGATCTCTGCAACCATCACCACAGTCAGTTTTGGACCATTTTGATTACCCCAAAATGAAATCCCACATCCTTTAGCTGACACCCCCAAGCCTCCTTTGCTCCCAGCCCTAGGCAGCTATTAATCTGTTTTCTGTCTCTATGGATTTGCCTGTTCTGGCCATTTCCTATATAGTTGACCTTTGAATAATGCAGGGGTACTGACCCTCTGCACAGTCAAAAATCTGCCTATAACTTACAGTCGGCTCTCTGTATATGCATTCCTCCACATCTGTGGTTCCGCACCTACAGATTCAACCAACCATGGCTCATGTAGTACTGTAGTATTCTATTAAAAAAAACCCATGTGTAAGTGGACCCACACAGTTCAAACCTGTATTGTTCAAGGGTCATCTGTAAATGGAATCATATAATATGTAGCCTTTTGTGACTGGCTTTTACTTAGCATAACATTGCCAAGATCTATGTTATGGCAGTTATAGCATCTATCAGTACTTTCTTTTTATTGCCAAATAATATTTCATTACATAAATATACCACACTTTCTTTACCTATTCATCCATTGATGGATGTTTCCACTTTTGGGCCACTGTGAATAATGCTGCTATGAACATTTGAGTACAGGTTTTTGTATGGACCTATGTTTTCATTTCACTTGGATATATATACCTAGGAGTGGAATTGTGAGTCATACAGTGACTGTGTATTTAATTTTTTGAGGAACTGCCAAACTGTTTTCTAAAGTGGCTGCAGCATTTTCCATTTCCACCAGCAGTGTGTGAGGGTTCCACTTTGTCTGTATCCTCAACACTTGTTATTGTCTTTTTGATTACAGTTGACTCTTGAACAACATGGATTTGAACTGCATGGGTCCACTTAGAGGTGGATTCTTTTTCAATAAATATATACTATAGTACTGCACGATCCACAGTTGGTTGGATCCACAAATGCAGAACTGTGGATACAGAAGGCCAACTATAAAGTTATGCTCAGATTTTTGACTGCTTGGTGGAGGGGAATCAGTGCCCCTAACCCCTGTGTTGTTCATAGGTCAACTGTATAGCCATTCTAGTGAGTGTGAAGTTGTATCTCATTGTGGCTTTGATTCACATTTCCTTGAGGTCTAAGGATGTCAAACATCTTTTCATATGCTTACTGACTCCTTGTACATCATCTTTGGAAAACTGTTCAGATCCTTTGCCCACTTTTAATTTGGGTTTTTTTTATTATTAAGTTGTAAGGGTTTTTCATATATTCTAGGTACAATTTCTTTATTAGGTATATAATTTGTACTATTGACATTTTGGGCCCAATTGTTCTTTGTTGTAAGAGAGGCTGTCCTGTTCATTGTAGGATGTTCAGCAGCATCCTTGGCCTCTCCCCACTAGATGTCAGTAGTACTGTCCTCCCAACCCTGACTTGTGACACTAAAAATACCTCCAGACCTTGCCAAACATCCCTTGGGGACACAGGCAGAAGAACCCCCCCCCCATTGAGAACCACTGATTTGGAGAAATCTAGTCTGTTCCTCTCTCCTCCAGCATATTCCCTTCCTTCCCTTATGGCAACTATTAATTCTTTTTTTTTAAATGAATTATCTTTCCATATACGTCAGCCTGTATGTCTACTTGTAACCCCTCCCCTTCTTAGATAAATGATAGCATACTCTGCACATTTTTTTTCTGCTTTGCTTTTTTCACTTAACACTATATGTTGGAGTGGAGATCACTCCATGGAAGGATGTGGAGATATTCTTCACTCCTTTTTATAGGCTGCAACTCAGACTATAATGAACCATAACTTCCCAGCCAGATGGTGCTTTTAAGTCTTAGGCTCAGAAGACTTAATACGAGTGAAGGGTTCCTTATAAGGCTTTAACAGAAACATATTTCCTGACTAATGGCTGAAATGGCTGTGCCAGGCAAACTTGGGTTTTCCTCTCTTAGATTATACTTTGGGATAGGAAGCGACTTTACCAGTAGGTGCCACTGTTAGATAGTTTTGACACTGTTAATTCCTCTATCACTGTCCTTTACTCTGTGTGTGTGTGTATACAAACACTTGCTCACACACATATATGGATATACGTTACTTAACAAAATACACATGCTAGCATGCTTGAGACATTGTTCACCCTTGCTTTTTGTACTGATCACGCCACATCAGTGCACAGGAATTTTCCACTTTCTTGCGTTGCTGTGTGCATTATTCTTTATTTAAACAGCCTCATATTGATGAATATTTAGGTTCTGTCCATTATTTGCTGCTTTAAATCATGCTGCAAATTAGTATCTACATATGTCCTTGTACTCACATATTCACATTTCTATGGGATGAAATCCTAGAAGGGGAATTGCTAAGTCAGAGGAAATGGGCATTTTACATTTTGATAGCTTCTATACTCATAAGTGAGATGAGAACAATAAAACCTAATTGCTACTGAACATCTTTATGGTCTGCAATCAGTTTGTTGGAGAAAAATAGCCTTAAGATCCAGCATTTGTGAGGACGAGGAGAAGTCTTATTAAAGAAAAAGACTAAAGTAATAGAATCACCAGGCAGCAAGCTCCAGGAAGCCTGGGGAAATCACTTAAACTTGAGCAAATAACAATGACTTACAGTGGGTAATGGCCATTCTGGCCCTCCTTGTTAAAAAAGTAAATAATTTGGAAACCAGGCGCCTCCTTTAGGGTATACTTGCTGCTAAAATCTGTTTCATGGGTATGGGGGAGGAAAAATAATTTTACCTCCACTCTTTTAGATTCTTGGCTGAGACCCCCTGTAATAAAAGAGAATAACAGGAGAAAAACAAATAGAAGCTTAATAACACGTATACCTCCTGTAGACTCAGGAAAACTGAGTAACTCCCTGAAAAGGCCCAGGCTACCATCTGAAATACCATCCCCAGCTAAAAAGGAAAGATGTTAGAGATGGGGGCATTTTTGGGAGGTTTTCAGGCAAAGCAGAGTAAACATGGGTAAAGTTGTTATGCAGATTTAAGTCGTTATCTTCTCCATTGATAAGAGTTTCTAAAGATTTAGAGTCATCCTTGTCTTCCTGGTTGAGAGAGAGAGAGAGGGAGACACTCTTACCCATGGAGAGTTCCCTTATAAATGTAAATGTCTCTAACAAAAGGGCAACTTCTACTCTGTTTTCAGAGCTTCTCTTGTGTCTGCTGTTTCTTAAAAAATAATCAGCGCAAGATAATCTTTATGCCAAAGAGACATATTTTGGGGTGGAAAATTCTGCTCCCCTTCATGGGTCATCATGCTCCTCCTTCGGCATGCGTGATTAGTCCTGTGGTTGTTTATTAAATCAGTAGAGACACTGGCATATAGGGCAGACACCTAAGAGGAGGTGTTTCTTATGCACATAAGAGGGGAAATAGAATTTTTTCTGAGAGTAAAGGTAGACTCTGAGTCTGAAAGTACCAGGAGAGAGTGAGTAAAATTTATCGTGTCATTTCTCTGCTTATTCCACAAGGAAATAGAAGGCCCTGGAACTCTGCAGAATATTTAGGTTCTCCTGCGAGTATGATTTGGGGGCCCGCTTCCAAGTAGCTTTACTTGCCTTTTAGATGACACTTACCGGGAACACAGCTGCAGCTGACTTGCATTCTGACTTTATCAGTCACACAGCTGCTGCTGACAGCTTTGACCTTGACTTTGGCTTCAGATCTCTGGTTCATGTGGAAGACAGTCCATGGCATGGTGTTTATATTTAGAATGTTTTTGGCTTTTGAGATATCTATAGAAATAATAATCTCAATCTGATGTTTAGGTATGTGGATATGCATAATTTTTAGCATTTCTTTTCTGTTTATTGAAAATAGTAACTTTAAAAATCTGAATTTACATTAGATATTTACACAGCATCTGAAAACAGGATCCGTGTTCCACATTCAAACACATCAACACACACAGTGTCAGCTAAAAAATGATGCAAGAGGCTGCAAATAAGAAAGGAGTTTATTTCAGGTCTTAAGAATTGCAGCTTGGGAGACACAGATTTGGGTAACCCTGGAAGAATGTTCTGAGGGAGACAGAGTCGGGGATTATAAACGCAAAAAACCAAGAGGTTGTTAAAAGTTACCTGGTGAGAATTATGATGGACTCTCACCCGAATAAGAAAACATATGCCCTGGAGGAAT